TCAAAGTGTTCTTCCCAACCACATGCTCCCACTCAAACATACAAGACACAAACACACTGAGGTTTTTTTTTGTGTTTCGTAAACATTCCCACATAGATATGATATGTAATCCAGTCCTAACTGGCAGAATTAAAAATATAAGTCTAATCTTAACCTTATCCTGACTATAATTTGACCCTTTTGAGTCTTACTTTTACTCCAAATTATATTTTGAACCCTTGAAATATACTCTCACTCAGTGTCCCCACACAAGGACACATGTCCCTACAATCGCACATTCCCAAAAAACATCCCCAAAAGGACAGCTGTCCCCACAAAAGTAGTTAAAAAAAATGTCCCCACACAGGGACAGTGTCCCCACTGTAATATTTTTTCCAAGAATTGAAGAAATTCCAAAGAATTGGTGTGTGCGTCTCCATAAAAAATAAGAAAATCAAAAGATTTGGAACACTTTCCATAAAAACACTATAAAAACTAAGACTTGTAGTTTGGAAACACTGGTCTCTATGGCGCTGGTGTGACACTGGACTTCCCTTTTTGCGATCAACAAAGTACCAATCCATCCAACCATCCATCTAGTCAACCAACCATCCATCCATCTATTCATCCAGCCATCCATCCAACCATCCATCTATTCATCCATCTCTCCATCCAACCATCAAGACATGTTTGACACTGTGAGTGTTCAGGAACTGACATTAAAATTTCCCATCAGCCTCTTGCTGAGGCCGATCCTTCTTTTTATATACGATTGTTGCCACGTACGCTTTGGCCCAGAGGCAATGTCTCTGTCATTGGTGTGGAACCCCAGGGTTCACCTCCTGGGCAAGTTCGAATGGGCAAGTTAGGGCGGTTGGTACCTTCCAGTGGACTCACCACCCGCAGGAAGGTTTAGGTTCGGTGCAATGTGATTTGGGTGGCGACTGCTGCCCCCGCGACCCGGTAACGGATAAGCGGATGAAAATGGATGGATGGATGGATGTTGTCACGTAAACAGCTAATTCAGGAACTTCAGAGCATATTATTAATCAGCACAACGTCAGTTTCTTCAGGTACGATCTCCACTTTTGGAGAAAACAGTACCGGTACTTACGTCAACCGGGTCTGACAGTTAATATACTGAAAAATACAGGTAGAAGTATTTTCAATACTCTGGCTGTACAGTAGGAAATGTACCAGCTTTTGTTACCATGTGGTTTGTGGGTGTTCAGGAGAATTGTGTGTTTTGGGGGAAGGGGTGGGTATTTGAATAGTGGGGGCATTTGAAGGGCAGAGGTGACAGGGCAAGGGGAAAGGAACGGCACCTCATCTTCAGGGCTGAAGAAAGTGAAGGGGATTTGCTGAAAAGCTAATATAATGTACTGGATTATTATGTTATAGTATTGATATATTCTCTTTAATTACAGCCGTGCTAATAAAGTCAGAGTAGTTTGGAACTGGACGGAGAAAAGTATTGACATCAAGTAGACGCAAAAGGGAGGGAACAACAGCTACATTCAAAATTCCT